GTAGGTACCTATACGTATCGACCTTGATACGATCACCAGTATGTATATATTATATTAATATATAAGCAATTATATACTTACATTCTACTTATCTACGTTAAAAATACATCAACACCTATCATTTGTGTGTATTCTAAGTGAAAAATTTCCCAACAAATATTTGAATTTTTAAATATTACTATTATAATATTTAATTCGTAAATTCAGTCATAATCTGTCCATTGCTGAAAATAGGCATCCATCATAGACTGCTGTAAGGAATCTTAACGTAGTCTTTGGAGGAATTTTGCCAGTAGTTGCCACGCTTACCAGAGGGAGACTTTGTACAAAAGTCGATTGTTTGGGTACCTCTGTCCCATTTGTGTTTCAATCATGAAGCAGTTGTATTTGCATGGTTGTGTTTCGGTTTGTAGGAATAACACCTGAGTGCTCAGGAATGGCAACGCATGGGCGGTATCATGGGCGAAACAGTATACTCTGTTATGCCCATGATACTGCTTATGTCTATAGGCGACGGTTACCACTTTCCATCAGGTGGGCCGTCAGCTTGTTTGCTATTCTAAGTTGAATAAAAAAAAAACGCTTGGCGCGCGGATTGACAATCGCAGTTTGGCTTATGATGATATTTTAAAAGGGACGCTGAACATAGGTCTCCTACAATAGGAAGGTTTTGCAAGTAGTTACCATGGTTTGCAAGCGAATTGGCAACCGCAGTTAGGTTTTGGACATGTTTTAAGAGGGACGCTGCTGTGCATTCCTCGACTGTTAAGCTCCCTTAGTCGCCTCTTACGACATCCACGGGAAAGGAATGTGGCATTATAATTTATTACGTGTCAAATAGTCTAAGGTTTTAGCCACCGAATATATTTTTGTTTTTTTTTTTTTTAATCATAGTAATGATTTGAGGCATGGATTGTCCACTGATGTACATAGGACTCCCCTATAGACCGCCATAGGCGACAGTCCTGAGCCACCTGTCTCCACTGACTCCCTGCAATACACTAGTGGTCGTAACCTTATCTAATTAGAGGTCGCAAATCGAAAATGGTTATATAAATAATGAAATTTATTACGGAATTCACACTTGTCCATAAAAAATAATTAAATTAATAAAAAAAAATATATTAAGACTTCGTTTGAACCAGCTAATCTTTGGAATTGACCAGTTGGATTTGAATAAATTCTTTTTGTATGTAAATAGTTGATTTCTGGAGGAAAGTATAGGCTATTTAACATTACGACACGTCCGCGAATGACGCCGCGAGATACAGCTAGTTACTACTAGCTAGCAGCTAGTTACTACTAGCTAGCAGCTAGTTAGCTACTTAATATTTGAAATGCTTACTGGCAGCATGGCAGGGGTCAGCGGGTCTACAATGAAATGAAATTCCAAAATTTCGAACTCAATTTCGTGTTTTTGTTTATACCAAAATCGGACCAATAAATGGAGTTTAACATTTCGTTCGTCATACATCCTATCATAAAAGTCCAAAAGAACAATATTTTAACATTTTTAATATTTCCAAACGGGGCATGTAATTTTAACATCAAATTTCTTTGTCGTTTGCCTCCGAAATTTTGGAAATCATTTCATGGTAGGCCCTCAGGTTGTTCTCTTCAGGCTCGCACGCTATGACTTTCAAAATTGTATCCATGGATCTATTTATATATTAAAAAAAAAAATAACTGTTGAGTTTCTAGCTGGCTCTTCTCAACAGATAACATTCCGAACTCTACAGTACTTACATTACATTTAAAACAAAAATGACTATTTAAAATTGCTTGTAAACAATTCTATTGGAATAATGACGATTGAATTTATCGATGCCGTTGATCTGTAATGATTAAAATATTCTTCAATATTAGTATAGAGTCAAATGTCAAATTTAGGGGAAAATATGAGTGAAAATGGTATGGTAACCCCGCCTGCGCTAATGGGATACGCTGGCGGAGCACCGGTGAAGGGTGATAGATGAGAATGAAAACAGGCCAGTTAGCCCATCGTTATGAATTCATCAGGAATTAACCATGATAGTTTCCAGGGGAACCGCGAGTAGGTCGACCTGGTTGGGTATATTGTTAGCAACGGGATTCTCAGTCTCCGTTACTAACAATCCCTTTTCCCCCCTGTTTGAGTTTATTAGTATTATGTGTGCGCCTGATTATCCGTTAATGTTATCAGATAATGATTAGATAATTGGTAATAATCTTAAATCATTCTTGTATCCATGATTTATTGTGTATAGTAAAAACCGTGTGGTCCCGGCATAGAATAGGCGACCCCTTCCTATCCCGTGGGTGTCGTAAGTGCTGACTAAGAGAGGGCGAGGGATGATCAGCAGCGTCCCTTTTAAAACAATCTCCAAAGCCTAATTGTGGTTGCCAATCCGCCTGCCAAGCGTGGCAACTACTGGCAAACGCTCTCAAGTGGGAGGTTTATGTTCAGCAGTGGACAGTTAAAGGCTGATATGATGACGATATAGCAGTAGAGGGAGACTTTGTACAAAAGTCGTTTGCTTGGGTACCTCTGTCCCATTTGTGTTTCGGTGTTGTGTTTGCATGGCTGTGTTTCGGTTTGAAGGGTAGGATATGGCGTAAATTTACAGGGTACAGAGGAATAACACCTGAGAACTCAGGAATGGCAACGCATGGGGGGCATCGTGGGCGAAACAGTATACTCTGTTATTTCTATGGAACCAATCTGAAAGTTAATCCTTTCAGATAAAAAAAAAGAACTTTCCAAATCGGTTTATTAATGATGGAGTTATGAAGTGACAAACATAAAAAAATACAAGCGAATTGAAAAAAGTCCCCCATTTTTGAAGTTGTTTGAAGAATATAAATATATTTAAATGTTATAATGGTTTTACGTTACGAGATATCTTCGCCTTTAAAATTATTTTTGCACTCCATTGTTTTTGTCACAGTGTCGTTTGTTTTAGAGTTTTATGTTCAAATATTTATAAAATATAACCGGCATTCAATTTGCCAATACTGTCTAAGTACTTATGGATCCATCATGGAAGTTATACGTTTATTAACAGTAGATGTCGCGTAACATACATATAAAACAAGCGGATTATAGCTTCGCATAAAAGTTATTTAAATCATAAGAAAATTAGACTGGGACCAACTGACAAAATTTATTTATTTACACTTTATTGCACTAGTTAAAAAAAATATAATAAATTTGAATTCGAAGTGATGAAGTGAACCCTAAAGCTAGGAAAAATAATTTATTTTTATTTCAGAAATAAAAAAAACTAAGTACAGGATTTTTTTTTATACAACTTAGAATGGCACACAAGCTGACGGCCCACCTGATGGAAAGCGGTAACCGTCGCCTATAGACATGAGCAGTAAGTACCATGGACATAACAGAGTATACTGTTTCGCCCATGATACCCCCCATACCTGAGTTCTCAGGAATGGCAACGCATGGGCCGTCAGCTTGTTTGCCATTCTAAGTTGTATAAAAAAAAATGCGTTGCCATTCCTGAGGACTCAGACGTTATTCCTCTGTACCCAGTAAGTTCACGCCTGAAATGAGAATACATATCTTCTTTTAAGAAAAAAGGAAAGGAGTTATAATTTACTGTATTTTTTATAACGTTTATTGCTTAATAAAAGTCGAATTAAGTCGTAAAAGAAAAATGTATCATACTTATAAAACAGTTTAAGATTCGTTTCGATTACTTGCAAAAGTTTTTAAGCGCCACCCTAGTGATACTAGGTACTAGTCTTAAATTATTAAGGTAAGGTAATATCGAATAGATATCGATAGAAACTCATAAATTTCGTGTATGATCTTCTAATAATTATACGTTACAATAAGACAAAGATATTTTTGATGTAACATAACGCTCGATTATTTAATTTATACATACGTATTAGCATATCGCCGTGTGTGTGTGTCTATGTAGGTATGTGCAGGTGTCCAGACGTGATGTCATCACAAACCCGATATTCTGGTCCGCCGCCGGCCCGCCATATTTCTACTTATTTAGTTTTTTATTTGTCCGTGCGAATTGATTTTGGAAGCATCTAGTTACAACACTACGATATTATACGTCGTCGATAAAGATAACGCGCTTGAGGCCCAGGAAACAAACTGTGCGGCCATAATGGAAGAGTGTGAAATGCTCAAGTTCTGTAAAAATGGAAACTATGTATGAAATGAAATTAATGTCAAATTACCTGAAATTGATATAGTGCATGATAGTTCGAATTCCTACAGGAATAAATTGCTGAAACACTTTGTACAATAATCTTATAAAAAGTAACTCTAATTATCATAATATATATATTTTTTTAATATTTTTTAATTGAATTCACTTATAATCGTATTTTCTGATATTGCTCACAACTCAGGTTACATGTTTATTTCTATAACTAATAACGCAACTTTTAAAATATTTGTAGTCTAGTGTTATTTAATTCATTATAATTGTTACTTCATTTTCTCGCACTGTATAATTATGTTAAAGTGAATGCTGTGAATACCTATAATAGGCGTGTGCATTAATATTGTATTGTATTTAATGTTTGTTATACCTATATGTTATAATGCAATATGCTGTTGGTGTTCCTTTAAGTAAATAAATAAATTTCTAAAAAAGTTCTTAACACAAACTTGCTAAAAACTGAAAGTAATTAATGTTGTATGATATACGTATAAGGTGTAAATTGACGTTGTTTTCCTATGTTGCCACATTTTCATAAGACTCAGTACGAACACTTTTAAATCTAGCCGTCTCTGTTCCACAACGAACCGTCCAATATGGCTCCTCGATGGCGGTTGTCAGGTTGTCAGCTGAACGCGATCAGTTGGGAGTGCCACTTTACAATCAGAAATAATTAACAGTCGTTTACCAAGAGCCATATTACCAATTGAATAAAAACGTACGCTTTACACGACAAGTACATACCTCTGTGTATGTTAAAGGATCCGTTTTATATTGTATAGATGTAATATTTAAATTTTTTTTCTTTCTTTGCAGAGCACGGCGAGAGAACCGAGGACGCAAGGAGGACAGATCACGAGCGGCTAGTGGCTGGCTCCCTCGCCACTGATGGCGAAGGTATGTTACTAAATGTTTTTTAAAAATGATTTTTATATATTTTTTTAAATATCATGGAATAACAAGAAGGTGACAGTTACCTGGTAGAAATGGTAATTGTCCTACGTAGATTTATTTCGTGGACATCGTGTTCCATAAGCAAATAATTAGGTAGATGTTTGCATGCTTTAAATTCTTGTTTATACTCGTAAATAAAATTTTTTAATAATTGTTTTTTTCTATTGTAATTAATAAAGCATAACTAGCTCGGTATTGAAATATTGAGACAATATTTTATTTTATTTATTTTTTATTAAAGAAAAACCAACAGGATCTTCCGTTTTTTAGTATGGAAAATACTTCATATATTTTTTAAGAGGTCCTCCTTGAAATGTATGCAAATTTGATCCCACTATACTTAAATTTAACAAAAAAGTAATTAGTAAAATCTTTAGCACAGACAAAGTCTTCAGATTTTTAGAGAATGGACAGGCCGCGCTTCCAATTTATTAGAAACACATCTGCTAAATCCAAAAAAATAAGATGGCGACTCACACGGTCATAAATTCTGTTTTTCCAGATCTCTCATTTCTCAAACAGCATGACATTAACTGATTAACACTCTTCAAAAAGAAGTTAAGCCTATAGTTCCGTGTGTTATCACCAGATAACAATAGTTGTCTATACTCAACGAGTAATGGCGGAGTTTGATTCGTGCTATTGCCAAGTGACGCACTTACACTATACAACTTAGAATGGCAAACAGGCCCACCTGATGGAAAGTGGTAACCGTCGCCCATTCCTGAGGACTCAGGTGTTATTCCTCTGTACCCTGTAAATTCACGCCATATCCCACCCTTCAAACCGAAACACAGCCATGCAAACACAACTGCTTTACAGTAGAAACACGAATAGGGCAGAGGTACCCAAGCAATCGACTTTTGTACAAAGTCTCCCTCTGGTAATTTATGTATTTTACACATAAATCATTGTAGCCTGGCCTGAAGATAGCCAAGTATAGTATAGCGCAGTGTTTTACAAAGTGTGGGTCGCGACCCCTTAGGGGATCCTCGAGCCTCAACAAGCGGGTCGCAGATCTCGAAGCAGTGAAAAATCAACAGTTCCGTAAATACATCAGTCAATTAATAATACATAATGAAGTATCTATAACAGACATCGATTACACGTCTGTTTTAGATACTTTATTATGTATTATTTATATTATTTTATCGATACCTAACTGTGAATATAAATACATACATAGTACGGATTTCATAGGAATAACACCCGAGTCCTCAGGAATAGCAACGCATGGGGGGTATCAAAGGGCGAAACAGTATACTCTGTTATGTCCACGGTACTGCTCATGTCTATAGGCGACGGTTACCACTTTCCATCAGGTGGGCCGTCAGCTTGTTTGTCATTCTAAGTTGTATAAAAAAAAATGTACTATAATAAAATTCATACACATTCGAAACAGTGGAAGGTAGGGGGTTGCAAGATATTTTTACACAATAAGGGGGTCGCGTCATGAAAAATATTGAAAAACACTGGTATAGCGCATGTGGAAGGCTGAAGGTGTGACTTGGTTTCTTCTAAACATGAAAAACAGTTTTATTTATTTATTTAAGGAACACCAACAGCATATTGCATTATAACATATAGGCGTAACAAACATTAAATACAATACAATATTAATGCACATGCTTATTATAGGTATTCATTCACAGCATTTACTTTAACATATATTTATCATCATTATGTATATTCCTGACTATATTTTAGATAGATAAATAAATTCTTTATTACTGACAAAAACAATAATAAATAAACAATTATAGGTAATAATAAACAACAGTCAAGCCTATGTAATGGACTGGTCGAGTCTGTAACAGTAGTCTCTTATGTCCTTCTCCATACAAAATACTATGTGGGTCAGACCATATCTCATGAGCATTGTCAAATTCACCATCTCTATTTCTCAGTAAAGCTTTTTTTTTTATATTTATTGAGTTGTCACACTGTTATGGACGTGACATTATTGACATTGCTTTACAATGATTGTTTTTTAATAGACCTCGCGAATAGAAACATATGACAAATGGCAACAGATGAGTTCAATATTTGGCAATTACTTTGGTACTGAAATTAAATATCTATTTGGTTCACTGACACGATGAACGCTCAAGGTTTCCTTTCGCATATATCTATGCCAGTTTTTTTTTATACGCCTACCGACACGACAAACAAGCCGGCCGAACTTTTACATAAACGATTGACGATCCAGAAGTCGCCTGGATACAATTTGCACACTGCTATCTGTATTCGTTTTATTTTTCTTTTTTAATTATATATATATATATATATATATTTATAAATATTTTTTGTGTTGTTTCTTGATTATAATTCTTAATATATGGATTTTTTTTTAACCCCTGTGTGGGTGCCGTCGCATATTTCTTGTAAAATAAAGTTTCTTTCTTTCTTTCTTTCTTATATCTAGACTTTAATGTCTTTTAAATTAATATTCGTAAACTTTTCTTTAATTTATCTGTAACAGCTTTTACTCTGTGTACCGATACGATATTGTAACCTTCAAGAAAAGAGCGTATTTCTTTTTAAAAGGCTCGCAGCATATTTGCAATTTGCCGGTGTTGATGTTATGAGCGACGGTAGTCACCATTAGTTGAGCTGCATGCTCCTAGCCCCCTGTATTATAAAAAAAAAGTAAATTACACAATGAAACCGACAAGATCATTATGCGATTTATTCGATGCATAGTGAATTACGAGTAAGTGTATTTGGATCAGGTTATAAGTGGACATTTTGTACAAAAGTCGTATGCAAACTTCTCTTTGGCTAATTTATGTTTTTACTATCAAACAGTTTTATAGTTGTATTTAAGCTAGAAGGGTACGGAAGTGATATTACGGAGTATAGAGGCATAGAAATCCTGTGCAATGCCGAGGTGTGACCAACAATGAACACGCCAATGTACTGATGTCCACGGGGCTATTTATGCATATAAGCGACCATTGCCACTTTCCAACAAGTTAGCTTGTTTGCTATTTCAAATTGTACAAATGAGGTTTTTAATATTTTCCTAGGCTTTATAATTCTGGAGATATTATTGGGAGACTACTTCGGGACCTGTTCTCTCCAGCTTACGCGAGAACCGTCAGAAACCAGTGATCAGTGTAGTTTGTTAGTAAATATCTCTGTATCGCACCAAAATTAAACTAACGTGCAAAATTTCAGCTTCGGTAGTTTTTGAAACTTGAGTTGAAGCTACTCAATAGCTTATATTTAGCTTTTATAAATAGACTTGTCATAAGATACAGTTAGCCTTATAAACAAAGCCGAGACGGCTGACAAAGTTAAATTCGACCCTGCAAGTTACCTTTATCATTTCAGGTCATTGTACCATGCAATATTTATTTATTAATTACAGCTGAAAGAAATGCTGTTTCAGTTTTCATCGAGGTCAGTCGTTCGCGTGTGAGGAGCGTATAAATTTCTTTAATACACACAAATATATAATTTTCTGTTCATTTTATATATGAGATACATCAATCTATGCGCGTATCAAAGTTACGCCTATACAAATACATTCGGGGGGGGGGGGGGAAGGGATTGTTAGCAATGGAGTTTGACAGCCCCATTGCTAGCAATATTCCTTATTAGGTCGACCTCCACGTGGTTCCCCCTGGAAACCATCGTGAACAATTCTTGTTGAATTCGTCACCATGGGCTAACTGACCTGCTTCATCCTCACCTATCATCCTTCACTGGTGCCCCGCTGGTGTATACCGATAGCACGGGTGGGGTTACCATTCCATTATCATCCATTAAAAAAATTATGTATATATGTATGCATGTATATATACATTTATTATTTATTAAAAAAAAAATACATTCAGGGGGGTTATGGCATGTTCTTCGAAACTTATTTTGAATTTTGGCCATATCAATTTAAGGATGTATCTTGAGGTGAATTCTGTCACATATAAAAAGCTACTACGTGTAACATGGGCAGTATTTTGTTTAAAAAAATATTGCGCTAAGCTGTAACGAGTCCCTTGTGTAAGTAAAATATGACCATTGTTCGCCCTCTGTACCGCTGGAATGGATGTTGAACATATACTCTGTAAGTTTACTATCTCTCTGCCAAATGTTACCCAAAAAGGCTCAGTAGTTTAGTTGTCTTTCTTCAGGGATTTTTAGTAGAGAGTCTTTTATAAGGTATTTTAAAGTGACGAAGGTGCAATCTACCAATCCCACGTGCCGGTTTCTTTAGTTTCAAATTTCTTAGTTTTTTCGCTCTTTCAATTCGTTGGAAGTTTCACCATATCGAAGTTCATGACCCTATATACTTTCCTGGAGTCTTTATCTGCCAGACAACGAGAAAAAGAGGTTGTTACAAAGGGGACCATTTCCTACGATATAGTTGGGTCTATCTCCACTGGTGATCGACAATCACTCCTGTTACGTTTCCACTGATCATCTCCCAGTTTTGGTTCAAAGTATAACTTGTTATTTTTCTGGTGCCGAGACTCTTGGTTCGAAGTTATAAAACAGCGGTGTGTGTCCCAGTCCCACGTGTCTGGTGGCGGTAACCTTGACGATCGATTGGCGGCCCGGCAGCCTGGCGCCGCCCTCACACCATGCCGCCGCCACGCTACATGGGATGGTGGGACAATAGTGGTATTACCATAATTATTCCCATCATACTTTGTGGTTGTTGACCACAAGTGCCGGTGGTGAAATTCCGTTACACACTTGGACTTCGAACGAGATGACACATAGACATATCTGTATGCATGTATTATGCGTATCTCTAGATTTTCCTCTGGGAAATATTTGGGTAGAATTTTGATGAAGTGTCTTTGTTTTAAAGACGTCTGCAGCCAAGAGAAAAAATTGGTGCTCTTATAATTTCGTCATGTCTTCGTTTGACATCTAGATAGACAGCTATATCAGTCACAGCATCTTAACTTTTGCAGTTCAATTTGGACCTTCATGAAAATTTTCCGGGTGTTTTTTTAAGGGTGTCTCCATAAAGAAATAGTATTTTTTATTTTACGTGAAACGTTTATGGTATGAAAACTTTCGTTGCGTCATTATATTTTTTTGCATGATGATTTTATCTGGCGATTAATGAACCATGAAAATTTGGCGAAAATCCCAAACTGACTAAAGTGAGTGCGTTATTTGGAGTAAGAATGCTTTCGAAGTATATTCCAGGAGGAGTTACCTTCTGTCTTTGATCGTATAGCAAACAATTTCTAATAGTTTCCTTTGTTTATCATCACGGCTTGAATTTTTAAAATCTTTTATTCTAATGTTAAAGATTATACATTCATTGTAATTATCTGTACCTATGTCTTTTAACAGAGGGAAACTTGGTACAATAGTCGTCTACTTGGGTCTGACCCATTCGTGTTTCTGCTATGAAGCAGTTGTGTTTGCATGTCTGTGTTTCGGTTTGAAGGATGGGATATAGCAATTAAATTAAGTACAGAGACATAACATCTTAGTCCTCAGGAATGGCAACACATGAAGTGTATCATGGGCGACAAAGTATACTCTGTTATGTCCATGATACTGTTTGTGTCTACATGCCAGCTTGTCTGTCATCTAATTGACATAAAAACCCTTATAATCGCATACTTTTTTTTGGAGGCGGGTATCGCATTACAAAAAAGCAATTACGGAATCAACTGTCTGTGGCATCAGGCCGCCGTTCACTATCAGTCAGTTGGCAGTACCTCCTCGTCAACACAGTGCTCGCCAAGTTGGCTGGAGCCATTGTTGATGTCATCCCGCCAAAATATCAATCAGCTATGTGGGATCTATTGTGATTTGTTTAAATGCAGCTGTTTCTTGAAAATTCTGTTAATTAGCGAGTTTCGAGTCAACACTATTAATAACTGTGTATTTGACAGAGTTAACTGTTTGTTTCGTTTTGTAGTACAATTGAAATGTCAAGCGTGAGCTGCACTAGTGCGCTGAGGGTTCCGTTAATTTTATCAATCTTTCTTTAATCTGATTTGCAAGGTTTATGGATTTTGATTAACGTTTTTTTTATTTTAACTTTTTTTTTTAAATGGAGTTGGACATTGAATTTATTACACTACTGAAAAAGAATTATATCAAATATTTATTTATTTATTTAAACTTTAATGCACTGTCAAAATTAAAAAATATAGAGACATTTGGTGGACTTAGCACCGGACGGTGTTCTCTACCAGTTGACTATTGGGTAATACGAGAAATAATATCTCAAATATTTTAGTGTTTGATATATTTTTTGCTCTCTATCCACCTTTGGATGCTCTTCTAAAAAAAATTATCGATGTACAGATACACAGAAAGAGGGCTAAGGAAGTGCCGCTTATATAAAGCGTTCAGTTTTTAACTTTTGAAGCATGGACCCTACAAAACTGTTTGATTTCACAACATACAAAAGTGTAGGAACTTCGACTGTCAATGCTTACAAGAATGTGGGACATTGATGAATGTAATTAAATTCCTTATCGACGCTATTAAAATTGTATATAAATTATTACGTTGCACACAAAATGTAACAATGTATATTTTAACGTCACTTTGTGCAATAGCAAAACGTTTGAGTAGTATTCATAATAACCATTTCATCATCTTATCAGCATTTAACTGTCCACTGCTGAACGTAAGCCTCTTCTTTGGGGTGTTTTGCCAGTAGTTGTCACGCTTGACAGGCGGGTTTGCAACCGCAGTTTGGTTTTGGACATGTTTTAAAAAAGACGCTACTGATTATCGTTCGACCATTAAGTTCCCTTTGATGCCTCTCTCTCTCTATATATATATATATATATTCTTCTTGGTATTTGAAAATTAGATTTGACCACACTTGATTTTGAAGATGGTGAAATAGGTAAATTAATAGTACCTGTCCACTGCTGAACGTAGGCTTCCTCAAAAAGGAGGGTTTTGCTAGTAGTTGCTACATTTGGCAGGCGGTTTGGCAGTCGCAGTTAGGTTTTGGTGATGTTTTAAAAGGGACGCTGCTGCTCGTCTCTCGACTATTAAATTTCCCTTAGGTGCCTCTTACTGATTCCTGCAGGTATAAGACTAATTAAATTTAACTTATTATAACTAATTTAAGATCTACATTTGTCAAAAATTGTTACTTGATTGGTAAATCGTTTATGTTCCGACTTTGAACTTTCGGTATTCTTGAAGTTTACATTATACAACTGTAGTAAATTTTCATTTTTTTTTTTTTTTTGCATGAAATATTATGTATACTTCTATTTTTTTTTATACTACTGAGGTGGCGAACAAACATATGGCTAACCTGATAGTGAAAATTTCTTTCTTTCTTTTAATATGGCTACCCTAAAATTGGCGCGAAAAGTCCCAAGTTGGGAAGACTGCGACCGACTAGTACACAGATAAAAATAAGAAATAAATTTCTTATAGTTAATTGTCATCGTTTTTCTTTTCCAGAACGTCAGAGCTGGGAGTCGGAGTGGTGTAGACTGGCGTATTGGGAGTTAACGCAGCGGGTGGGGCGCCAGTTCGGGGTGCGTATGCCCGCGGTGGACGTGTTCGGCGGCGACGGCGGCGCCTGCGGCAGCGGTCGCCACGGGCTCTGCCTGGACGCGCTCGAGCAGAGGGGCGACGTGCCACAACTTGAACAGGTACCATCACCATTATGACAACCCAACCGTCGTAGAGGGGAGAGACTTTTTCTTATACAATTTAGAATGGCAAATAAGCTAACGTGAATAACAAATGAAGCTAACGTGAATAACGTAAAAGTGGTAACCGTCGCCTATAGACATGAGCAGTACCATGGACATAACAGAGTATACTGTTTCGCCCGTGACACTCCGCATGCATTGCCATTCCTGAGGACTCAGGTGTTATTCCTCTGTACCCAGTAAATTCACGCCATATCCCACCCTTCAAACCGAAACACAGCCATGCAAACACAACTGCTTCACGGTTGAAACACGAATGGGATAGAGGTACCCAAGCAAACGACTTTTGTACAAAGTCTCCCTCGACTCAACAAACTAGTGCACGAAAGAAGGAATTCTTTCGTGCACTAGTTTGTTGAGTTTTATTCCACCAGCATCTTGTTACGACTTTTCTAGACGTTTTTCACAAAAAAGCAATGGTTTCGATTATGACAAAATTAATACTAATACTTAGTAATATCTTTATTTTTATTTTAAACGTGTTAATTAAATGTTTAACATATACTTCAGATTTAATTACTTCTTCAAAAAGGTCTCAACCGATTGTGCAGGACCGCTTCGATAATAATTGATTTAGTGGAAACGGTCGGACTCTGCCTGATAACCCCCCGATAACTGAATATTTCGCTAAAACACCGACCATGCAAACCCCGGTTGATGCGAGAACGCATTTCAATCAACACTCTACAAAGGTTTCATTGGGATATTGTAACGGTATTAGAATTTATTAAAATTAATAATAATAATAACTAGCTGTATTAAAGAAATTAGATTTAGTTATTTTTTTTAGGTAGTTTAAAATGGCAAACAAGCTGACGGCCTACCTGATGGAAAGTGGTAACCGTCGCCTATAGACATGAGCTGTACCGTGGACATAACAGAGTATACTGTTTCGCACATGATACTCCCTATTCCTTGCCATTTCTAAGGACTCAGATATTATTTCTCTGTATCCTGTAAATTCACTGCCATAAATCACCCTTCAAACCGAAACATAACCATGTAAACACAACTGCTTCACGATAGAAACACGAATGGGGCAGAGGTGTCCAAGCCAACGATTCTTGTACAGTCTCCCTTTGGGATAAATCTGGTCACCGAACTAGGCAGAGCCTGTATCTCAGTGAATAGTTAAACTCCTTTGACTTAAATATTTATAAAAGACGTTACAATATCGAATATAAATACATACATTGAAGTTAGTACAACATTTATAATGCTTTTGGTGGAACATAGTTAAATGTGGGTAGCATCAAGTTACCTCTTTTACAATTACTTGATAAGGTATAAATAACTGATATGAAGAAAACAATAACTCATTGAATTATAATTTAAATAAGATGTACCTGTCATTATATTATTTTGTAATTTTTTTTTTATATATCAACATTTGTTTTTATATAAGCTGTTGTGTTTGCATGGCTGTGTTTCGGTTTGAAGGGTGGGATATGGCAGTGAATTTACTGAGTACAGAGGAATAACACCTGAGTCCTCAGGAATGGCAACACAAGGAGAGTATCGTGGACGAAACAGTATACTCTGTTATGTCCACGGTACTGCTCATGTCTATAGGCGACGGTTACCACTTTCCATCAGGTGGGCCGTCAGCTTGTTTGCCATTTGCCAAGTGGTATAATTTTTTTTTCAAACGGTTTCAATAAGAAAGCGGTTATCAATTCGGCTGTATTTTTTTTTATGTTTGTTACCTCATAACTCCGTCGGTTTTAAAAAGATTTGGAAAATTGTTTTATTTGAAAGGAAATACTTATATATAGATTGGTCCCAAAGAAATTTTATCAGAATCAGTTCGGTAGTTTAGTTTTTAAATAAAAAAAAAAACAAATTTTGCCAAAATTGAAGTCGATTTTTTTAGATTTTTTTTATGGAAAACAATCATAATTTAAAACTGTTTCTGCCATCAATAAGATCGACTCCTATGTTGATCCTATTAATAATTTTGTCACGTACTTTTAAAGTAGTTATTTTTGTCGCAGTGAAGTCCTGTTTGCTAACAAAAAATCCGCAATACAATACCTGTGAAGTCTCAGAATTTTTATTACAAATCGGATAGTTCTAAACGTTTTCAATTATAAACAATTTTATATTAAATAGGAAATAATGTATTTACACAGCTGAATCCATGTACGGATACCATTATCAATAGTTTTTTTTTTATGGGTGAAAATGATATGGTAACGGTAACTCCGTCTGCGCTAACGGGATACGCTGGCGGAGCACCAATGAAGGGTGATAGATGAGAATGAAAACAGGCCAGTTAGCCCATCATGATGAATTCATCAGGAATTAACCATGATAGTTTCCAGGGGGAACCGCGAGGAGGTCGACCTGGTTGGGTATATTGCTAGCAATGGGATTCTCAGTCTCCATTACTAACAATCCCTTTCTCCCCTATCAATAGGAGTTATTCTTTCGAATGTCTCTAATTGTAATAAATGACCATAAATGGCATTAGTAATCTACACTATAATATTATAAAGAGGAAAGATTTGTATTTTTATGTATATGTATGTTTGTAATGAATAAACTCAAAAACTACTTTGCCGATTTCAAAAATTCTTTCACCATTACAAAGCTACATTCACCCTGAGTGCAATAAGCTATATTTATTGCTAGAAAAGATTAGGCATCTTTACTAAAACTTTAGTAACGTAACTCGAGGTGTAAACAAAAATGCTATAAAATATCGTTCGTCGCGTGCGCTGCGGAAACTATTGGTGATAGAACAAAAGTATGTTCTACAATATTGAAGAAAATATCGATAACTACAAAAAACTTCGCGACACTATTATCGTTATGTCACAATAATCACTTTTTTAAATGTAAAACCCGTGCGAAGCCGGAACGGACCGCCAGTATATGTATGTATATTTTGCATTAATTCCTCAATAAATTGTCACAAGTACACACATACGCGCTGACTTATATGCATGCAATAAATTGTCCACTGTATTGAGATAAGTGATTCCAACAACCAATCGACGGTTTAATTGGCACGTAGATTTAATTATTACCAGAGGGAGACTTTGTACAAAAGTCGTTTGCTTGGGTCCCATTTCTCTGTCCCATTCGTGTTTCAACCGTGAAGCAAAAAAGTTGTGTTTGCATGGCTGTGTTTCGGTTTGAAGGGTTAAAGGGATATGGCGTGAATTTACTGGGTACAGAGGAATAACACCTGAGTCCTAATTAATGGCAACGCGCGCCTGGGGGTATCATGGGCGAAACAGTATACTCTGTTATGTCCATGATACTGTTCATGTCTATAGGCGACGGTTACCACTTTCCATCAGGTGCGCCGTCAGCTTGTTAGCCATTCTGTTGTATAAAAAAAAAATATATTAAAAAAAATACAAATTCTTGAAGTCGACTGAAAGCGTATGGAAGCACAAAGTTCTTGCTTATAAAAACCAAGCACTAACATTCACCAATAATAGAGACAAGGATTGATTTTTTATTCGTTTTTCATTTTCAGGTGCGAAAAACGCGAGCGAAAATCGGTCTCGGCGTGACCCTCTCGCTGGAGTCGGACGGGGTGTGGCTGTACAACCGGAGTGAAGAGCCCGTTTTCGTCAGCTCCCCAGCGCTCGACGCGGCCGCTGCCAAGGCGCTGCTGGTGTGGCGGGTCGCGCCCGGCCACTGCCTGTGCATCTTCGACCCGGCGTGCCCCCCGCCGGCGGTCTCACTGCCGCACATAGGCCCCGTGGACCCTCGCTCCGTGAGGATCTCGTTCGCAAAGGGTTGGGGCCCCAAATATTCGAGGCGGGACGTTACTGCGTGCCCGTGCTGGCTCGAGGTGCTCCTCGCGCCGCCCAGCTGACGCCAGGACTAAATTATCGTTGGTTGTGTCTCGATGTTCAGAACTGAACTTTTGAATATGGAATAGTGAGTTTCCTTTTTTAAATTTCATAGACAATTTTTTTTTAAATCGAGATGACAAGGACCGAAGATTGTGGATAACGGACCATAGAGTGAAGAGTGAAGTGCATAGACAATTTGACAAGAACTACAATCAAATAGTGAGTGTACAATGTTTGTGCGCGGCTCTGCTCGCACAGCGGCGTGATATGCCCCACTCTGTTATACAGAGGGCGTCTGCCTGGATCTATCTGTGGATTATAATTTCCATTACTTAAGTATTTTTTAATGTTTGTATCACATTTTTTTTTGTTACTGAATGTGTTATTGTACGCATGTGATGCGTGCGAATCGATGAAGTCCGTTGGCTGTTCAGCAGGTCCCCTGTTTTCGGGGGTGAATGCACCTTCTCGTGACTACGTATTTATTTTAATTATTGACGATTTTACTGTTCTGCTGTGACTGTAAATAAAAAAATCCCTTTACGTTTTATATTAAAAATGTTATAAACGTTCAGAAAGTTATGATCAATTTGATTTTCAATTAATTATCAATTTTTTTTTTATATTTATTTTTTATCTTACTTTTTACTAGTAATTTGACAACTGTCAATCGATTTATGACCATGAATTGTTAAATTGAAAATTAGATTCTGTACATTTTTTTGCATATAAATATTTTTTTTTTTCTCTAAATTATGAAACCATAAATTAATTTTACTTTACATATATTTTTCCAAATATGATCATTGTTTTCTGTGAATTTTACATAACGGGGCACATCGTTGCAACTCGGAATTTATGGAGATTACTTCATGCATTATCATTATAAAAAAAAAAAAAAAAAACATAAATTTCATCATTTCTCTCATCGTCATTCAAAAGGTGCAGTGTACATTGTAATTAACGGAAACTCACAAATGAGACTCTATTTTGACATTATTAATTATATAAATAAATAGATTTTAAACCGAAAACACCAGAGTGAGACTTTGTACAAAAGTCGATTCGACCACTGTCCCATTCGTGTTTCAACCGTGAAGCAGTTGTGTTTGCATGGCTGTGTTTCGGTTTGAACGGTGGGATATGACGTGAATTTACAGGGTACAGAGGAATAACACCTGAGTCCTCAGGAATGGCAACGCATGGGGGGTATCATGGGCGAAACAGTATACTCTGTTATGTCCATGGTACTGCTCATGTCTATAGGCGACGGTTACCAATTTCCATCAGGTGGGCCGTCAGCTTGTTCGCCATTCTAAGTTGTATAAAAAACAAATTAATTGTGCCTACCTGTACATTTATTAATTGTATGTATGTAAATATTTTAATTAGAATGTGCATTGCAACCACGCCATTATTGCGTCTCTCGCAAATTGGAAAAGCCAATTTTGTCGTAGAGTGCACCCCAATTCCAATCTCCACGAGTTAACGCGACCAAATCTGGTGGCCTAATAATTTTATACGGCAAGTACCATAATTAGTCACATATGCAATTTTGTATCATAATATGAAATGTCGGCTTTAAGACAACGCGAGACTGTATATATAAATGGAACGTTATATGTACTATATTATTTTGTAATTAATTATTTATAATTATAAAATATGCCTTACCTTAGATTTTAATTAAGATTACTGTATATTCGTTTTGTACAAATTATTGACATTTGACAGAATTTTTTGTATCGCGAGTTGTGTGCTGATCTAACGCGAAGGCTGTGTGATAAGCATTTGTAGCCGATTCCGGGTGGAAATTTTATATTGAGACATGTGTTTGAGGTCTCCGCAATGTTACAAGTGTTGAGATTAATACTGTCCCGCCACTTTTTACTGTTGCACGCCGATTGTCATACAGTTGTAATAGAAAGTTCCAGCAATAGTAGGTATCGTAAAAATGAAATAGTTCTAAAAATGAAGAAAGTAATTGCGTAAAAGTGCTAAAAAATGTTTTTTTTTTTAATTAATTTTTTGACCATTAACTCCTGAATTAATAATCGCTGGATTTCATATTGTTCTTAAACTTTTTGTTACCACCGTCTAATATCCCACGTGTATTGTTTAAAATGTACATTTTTCTATTTATATATCTGAAAAATATGACGATCTACAGTGACATACAGATTTACTAATTATTATTCAGAAAAATTACATAGTACATATTTTTTTATGTTGTCAACCCTAAATCCGAGTACAGTAAATATTCCGATTAAAAATCATAACTGGCAACATTGATGTTTATTAAAAAAACAATACCTATTTAGAATTTTTTTTATTAATTGGTGAAAATGGAATGGTAACTTCACCGGCGCTATCGGTATACACTGACGGTGCGCCAGTGAAGGATGATAGGTGAGGATGAAGCACTTCAGTTAGCCCATCGTGATGAATTCAACAAGAATTGTTCACGATGGTTTCCAGGGGAAACCATATGGAGGTCGACCTAATAAGGCTGTGAAACTCCATTGCTAACAATCCCTTTCCCCCCTAGGTCAATTAGAAATATATTTAGACAACCATTGACAATGCTATGGCTGTAATAGACAAAATATTGACTTGATTAATGGCTGTTTAATAATAACATTGGCCATACAGATGAATGGAAACAATTAACTATGGCGGTATAAAACATGTGTTAATATCAATAATTTACCAGTAAATCGTATCTCAGGTTACGTTGGCGTGCGGCACGGGAGCGACGGACACAAACAAACAAACACACATACACACACACACACAGTAAAATATATTTAGAATGTATAAATCAATAAAATTCGATCTTTTAGTTGTTACAAATCGTGAAAGATCTGCCAATATTAAAAAAAATGGTTCGTGTAAATTAGTGCAATCGTGTTTATAATACTTTTTTTTTTTATATTATGTAAGCGAAGCTGTCCTAATCGATCACTGAACATTGTGCCTTGTTTTATTTTCAGATAAATATAATGTTTAAATCCAAAATTTACATAGGGTTATAATACAGTCAATTTCACTGGCCTATAATATTTTATATATATATATATATATATATATATATATATATATATATATATATATATATATATATATATATATATATATATATATATATATATATATATATATATATATATATATATATATATAAATTATTATTATATATAAGCCTCGAATTTAAGAGTGTACCGTTTAGACAAAGTGAGTTGACAATAAAACACTTCATTCTAGTCTGTATAAAGAAATCTTGCTTTGTCATAATCCACTAGTATACTTCAAGGAAAATCGACAGGCCAGTCAAGGAAGCGGTCCATTGAGATGATATACGGGGGGGGTGGTCGAAAGGTTCGCCGTATGAGGGGGAGGCGGGTTGACATTATGGTTTCACCAGGGGCAGAGTCCGCCTCTGGTAACTGCTTTTGAAAAATCTTCTGAACGGATCCCCCTTGCTTGGCGAGGAACTTGATAAAGGTGCGGTGTTAAATTTTCCCAATACTCGCTGACTTCTACCCGATTCACTTGTTTACGGGTCGACAACTTAAAATCTCATGACCTGATTTGGTTCAAACTTGGTAATGTAAACTCTTAACAAGTGACTACCTACTACTATGGATGTGTAAACCAAGCCCCACCATCCCCGCCATTCCGCGAACTTTTCGACATTTTCTAGCTAATTAATAAAATTTGGGAGAATCATTCTGGCCTAACAGACAATTGGATAGTTTTATAATGGGTGTGTATCGTGAAGCTGTCACAAAGTACAGTCCCAGCATAATTTGTTTGTTAACATTGTTATGTATAATTGGTAAAAAAAAAATCTAACGAAACTGCTGTTTAGTCATTGCATTAGACTGATGTAGCAATCTTAAGAAATGTTACACATATTTTTGACAATGTACATTGATGTTGTATTTAAAAAAAATATTTTTTTGTTTTATTTCCAATATTTTTTATTAAACTTGTTAATTATGTCGCTCTTTTTTATAATATCATAAAAATATTACATAAATAGATTTTTAAATTAATATTGTACCACATTCCGGGATGTCTGTGTACTGTCAAAAAAAAAATGTAAAAAAAAATTGCCATTTTTCATGTCGTTTAAAATTAAAGTGGGATCAATTTTTAACTACCATTCTTTGATTGTAATAGTCTATTTAGAAATACAGATTTGAAGACATCCCGGAATCCGCGCCATTCTGTCTCCAATACCTTAAACGTTGAAATGTTTACAGTGATGTTGCCTCACTGTGAGGTTTCGTATACCGTCCATAGTTCGTTAATTTATACGAATACATTGTTGAAAATATGTGACATGTAAAATAATAATAAATTAAATAATTTAGATAGTCCCCCTGATTCGCCGGTTAAGTGTATGAGTTGTGAGTTTGACTGAAAGAAGGATGAGATTAGGATACAATAAATTATAAATAAATAAAGAAAGAAAATATTTTTTAAAAATGTCAGCCGTTTCATTTACTTATTCCTTATTTGTACAAAACATGCAGGCAACTTATAAAATATAACCTCGAGTAAGTATAATTAAAAAAAAAGAAATTATATACATAACCTAAGAAAATACTAACAGAATTTATGATAAAAAAAGGCAAAAATCTTTGGCTTTACAATCAATACTAAATGTTATTCTAATTTTTTTAAAGTTGTGTTCGGGACCAATGCGCAGCCCAGCCCGTAAGCTGAAATGTAAAAGTGCACTTTTAGATTTAACATTAAATTAAAAGTAAACCATCAATTTTAGAATTGACTCTAAGCAAATTCATTTAAATCACAAGATTTCATTAATTATGAAAAAAAAAAGTATATCAGCGCCATCTTTTGACGAATAAGTGAATTTATTAATCTCAAGCACAATGATTACATAGGATTCTGTGCTTATTCACACATACTTTAAATTATTTAATTTGTAGTTTCTTGATTCATTGTTAGATGGCGTAGAACAATAAAATTATAAATATACCTGAAAATTTATGGATCAGTATTTCAAGATATAAAAAATTTAAAACCGGAAGACTATTGTACATAAATGTATGTAGGTATCTACGCAAATGAATTTATATTACCACTTGGTATGTTGTTTATTTCTATTTTTTCGCGAAGGTTGGTAAATACATTGTCTATAGCGACTCACCGGCTAACACAGCTGCTATGGTGATGAACGGTGGGAAACAGCCGTACTGTATGAGGGCGGGGAACGTGACGGTGCCGCCGATGGTGCCCATTCTGCCGCACATCAGAAACGTCGCCATTGCCATCACCCTGGAGCAGTATCATTGTTATGTGATGGTGATGGTAGTTACATGTAGATTGTTAGTTATAAGGTCTAACAGACCCATTATGGGAGAAGGGAGTGTTAATAACAGGGTTTATAACGCATTGCTAGCAATATAGATACCCTGTTAGATCGAACTCCATGCAGTTCTCTGTGGAAGCCATCGTGATTCACCCATTAAAAAGAATAGACCTAATATTAAACACGCAGGGGGAAAAGGATTAATAGCAATGGAGTTTGACAGCCCCATTGCTAGCAATATACCATATTAGGTCGACCTCCACGTGGTTCCCCCTGGAAACCATCGTGAACAATTCTTGTTGAATTCGTCACGATGGACTAACTGACCTGCTTCATCCTCACCTATCATTCTTCACTGGTGCCAAAAAAAAAAAATTAGACACGCTGTATTTTAATGGGTGATGATAAAATAGTAACCCCGCCTGCGCTATCGATATACACTGACCGAGCACTATTGAGGAGTGGTAGGTGAGAATGAAAAGGCAGGTCAGTTAGCCCATCGTGACGAATACACCCGGAATTCAGAACGATGGTTTCCAGGTGGGACCACGTGGAGGTCAATCTGATAGGGTATATTGCTAGCAATGGGCACTGGTAGTACGCATTACTAACAATCCTATCCCCTCAGTCACATATGCTGATAGTTTGGCTTCCACGCGGTCTCCGTATGGAAGGAACTTATTTATTTATACTTTATTGTACACAAAAAATTACACACATAGTCGTAGAATACTGACGGATCTATATATGTATTTCTTTGTCAGATCCGTCAGTATTCTACGACTATGATGATATCATTTATATTAAATAGATATGTACAACAGGCGAGCTTAACTCTGTAAGAGTTTTCTTCCAACAAACCCTGAGTGGAAAGGCGCATTGATTACCAGCGGGCACATCGTGACGAACTTATCAAGAACTTATTTTGTTCTTGATGAGTTCGTCACGATGCGCCAATTGATCTACATTAATCCTCACCTATCATCCGTCACTGGTGCCCCGCCAGCGTATACTGATAGTGTAGACGGGGTTGCCATTCCATTTTCTACAAAAAAATACGTACCTGTGCGATGTGGGAAACAGATCGACACAGATGCTCGACAGCGCCGCTCCGCCGAGCGCGGTGAACGCAAGCGCAGTGGTCATCATGGCCAGCACTGACAACGCTCCGTTGCCCAGGAACGGCAGCATGATCACTGTAGCTGCACTGAACAGCCCGCAGAAACCGTTCACAAACTTTTTCCCGCATCTGTATGGAACAGAGATATTTATAAGGACAGACGAAATTATTATACGAGTATCAGGCATTTACCGTCCACTTCTGAACATAGGCCTACCCCATTATGAGGGTCTTATTATTAGTTGCCATTTTTAGCAAGCGGATTGGCAATCGCAGTTTTAAGGGGGATACTGCTGCCCATCCCTCGACCATTAATATATATAAAAAAAATTAAGTTCCCTTAGTCGCCTCTTACGACACCCACGGGAATGGAAGGGTTGGCCAATTCTATGCCGGGACCACACAGTAGGCGACGAAATTGTAGATGTTATTAAATTAAAATTCGCTTCTGCACTAGTTTATTTTCTACGGCGGGTCTGGTGTATATGTACTCTGAGTTTTTTTTTTAATGGGTGATAATCGAACGTTTGCATCGTTTGCGCTATTAGTGTACATTGGGTACCAGTGAGGGATGATAGGTGACAACGAAAGCAGGTTAGTTAGATCATCGTGATGAATTCTATTATAATTAACCACGATGGTTTCCAGGAGGGAGTGTGTGTGTGGAGGATTAGGCCCCTTTACTAACAATTCCTTTCCCCCTGTACTCGCCGAGTTATATGATTAGAAACGTTTGATGCTGCAAAGGGTGGAGCTACTTTCAATAAATATCATTCCCATGTGATTTACCAGTGAGAGACATCACCTTCAAATGTCTGGTAAGCCTGTTTTTAGCTAAAATCTTAATTATAAGAAATTATCAAATTATCTGTATTTATTTACTATTTAAAGAACTAACGTATTTGTGCTATTAAGTATGTGTATGTATATATTTATTTATATATATGTTTGTATATATTAGTATCTATATAATAGTGCGCCACCTACCCTTTGCTTTTCTTTCTTTTCTCAATGTCCTCTACCCAAAGGTTGTCTGAAAGAGATTGCTTAGCAATAAGGCCGCCTTTTGTATCACTTCTCATTAATATTAAATGTATTTATTATTTAATAAATGGTGCAATAAATTGTAAAATAAATAAAAAAAAAAATGTCTATGATGTAATATAAAACAAAGTTTTCTAAGTACCATAATCAAGAGAGTATAAATAAACTGCTTACCTATTAATAAGTAAACCTCCAATTCCATAAGTGAGTACGGAGCCGGCGCCTACCACGGCGCTCTGCAGGTATGTCAGCATGTCAGTCTCTATTGGTTGACACAGTATATCGGGAGCAGGAACAGCCTCCGGAGCTATGGCTGCGCACAATCCCTCGTTACTGTCTGACTGTATCATGGCGGCCAGTTGAGGATACCAGAGTCTCAACGTGTTCGATCTGTAAGAAGTTTTTTTTATGAAACGTGGAATGGCAATCAAGCTGACGGCCCACCTGATGGAAAGTGGTAACCGTCGCCTATAGACATGAGCAGTGCCATGGACATAACAGAGTATACTGTTTCGCCCATGATACCCCCCATGCGTTGCCATTTCCGAGGACTCAGGTGTTATTCCTCTGTACCCTGTAAATTCACGCCACATCCCACCCTTCAAACCGAAACACAGCCATGCAAACACAACTGCTTCACGGTAGAAACACGAATGGAACAGAGGTACCCAAGCAAACAACTTTTGTACAAAGTCTCCCTCTGGATGCTGGAAAGTGTTAACCGTCACCTATAAACATTCAAGTATTCTGTGCTGTTCAGCACAGAATACGCTATAACATGGTCCCAGGTGTTATCATATTCCAGGATTAAGACAATCCGGCATAGAATGGGCCACCCCTTCCTTTCACGTGTGTGTCGTAAGAGCTGACTAAGAGAATTTAATGGACGAAGGATGAGAAGTAGTGCTCCTCTTAAAATATCACCAAAATCCTAACTGCGGTTGCCAACCCACCTCTCAACCGATTTTGAGAAAATTTGTATGAGACCAATCTGTAGATATATTTTATTAGATTACAGATAAAAAATAATTTTCCAAATCGGTTTAGAACTGACGGTGTTATGGGGTAACGAACATAAAAAAAATACAATCGACTTGAGAGCCTTCTTCATTTTGAAGTGTTTTGAAAATTATACATACCCAAACATGCAGCACATGTGTATGATACAAACAAGCAGCAGCCACTTGAGGTGTGGCGGTCGGAACAGGGGCGCCAGCTGGGACCAGCCCCCGCGCAGAGCCGCCAGACCTTGCGCCTGTTGCTCTGACTTTTCTTCTACCAAGATTTTTATCTGAAGTGCAAATAATAGAATACTGTAAGTATTGAAAGCCTGAAGACCTTATATTTCGGTTTCTCTGAATAGAAACAATCTTAGATAATTTTTCAAATATTTAATATCGGGTACAGTTAGAGTACTTTACCAGAGGGAGACTTTGTACAAAAGTCGTTTGCTTGTGCACCTCTGTCCCATTCGTGTTTCTAACGTGAAGCAGTTGTGTTTGCATGGCTGTGTTTCGGCTTGGTAAGGGTGGTATATGGCGTGAATTTACTGGGTACAGAGGAATAACACATTCAAACCGAAACACAGCCGTGCAAACACAACTGCTTCACGGTTGAAACATGAATGGCGCAGAGGTATCCAAGCAATCGACTTTTGTACAAAGTCTCCCTCCCTCCCTATTATATCATAAAAAAAAACAGTAAAATACTAAACGTTTTCCTTTTTTGAAGTAAATAGAAAAGTAATGATCTTTCTATCTGTATGAGAATTACATAACTTACAGGATAGTCATCCATCGGCTTGCCAGTATTCATGGCATATATCTTTCTGAAAATTTGCATTGCTTCTTCATTTCTTCCTCTTGACATTAAAAACTTGGGGCTTTCTGGCATGCAAAGGAAGACCAGACCGGTGATTAGGGGAACTAACGCCGTCGCCAAAAGAAATAGGTTCCAAGCGTGAATTACTGTTGACAAAGAGGAGAATTTAAATGTTCGTAGATATTTTAGATTGACACATAAGTCGATGGTCGTTTGTGGATAATCAACCATGCTAGCAGGGGGGAAAGGGATTGTTAACAATGGAGTTTGACAGCCCCATTGCTAGCAATATGGCTTATTAGGTCGACCTCCACGTGGCCCCCCTGGAAACCATCGTGAACATTTCTTGTTAAATTCGTCACGATGGGCTAACTGACCTACTTCATACTCACCTATCATCCTTCACTGGTGCCCCGTCGGTGTATACCGATGGCGTGGGTGGGACTACCGTTCCATTATTATCCATTTAAAAAAAAACCCATGCTAGCAATTCGAAGGTAGGAGGCTACTGCAACCTATGATCCCTAGCCATTACCAAAGGCATAACTCACACCTTATTCAGCTTTGTGTATAAAAAATCTCGAGTTACAGTACCCTGTAACTTCCCTATCATATCCTTACGCTAGCTGAGCACCAGTGAGGGATGATAGGTGAGAATGAATAGGCAGGTCAGTTGGTCCATCGTGATAAATACACCTGAAATTACCCTTTCCTGGGTGGAAAAGGGACTGTTAGTAATGGAGATTAGTAACCCCATTGCTAGCAATATACCCTGTCAGGTCGACCTCCTCGTGGTTTCTCCTGAAAACCATCGTTATTGATTTATTGTTAGATTCGTCACAGTGGCCTAATTGACTTGCTTCATCCGCGCCTATCATCTCTCACTGGTGCCCTGCCAGTATATACCGATAGTGTAGGCGGAGTAACCATTCTATTATCATCCATTAAAAAGAAATACACTTGAAATTCAGCACGATAGTTTCCAGGAGGGACCGTGTGGAGGTCGACCTGGCTGGCTATATTGATAGCAATAGCGACTAACCTCCTCATTAACCAACAAGAAGTGAATATTAGATATATGAAGGATGTTTCAACCGTAAAGCAGTTGTGTTTGCATGGCTGTGTTTCGGTTTGAAGGGTGGGATATGGCGTGAATTTACTGGGTACAGAGGAATAACGCCCGAGTCCTCAGGAATGGCAACGCATAGGGGGTATCAATCATGAGTGAAACAATATACTCTGTTATGTCCATGGTTCTGCTCATGTCTATAGGCAACGGTTACCACTTTCTATCAGGTGGGCCGTCGGCTTGTTTGTCATTATAAGTTGTATAAAAAAAAAAATGTAAGATAGTAGGATAAAAGACTTCAGGAACAATACTCACCAAAGCCAGTGCCAAATAAGTAGAAGTGCCAGTCCTTGGTTAGTATAGCCCAAGCTAACAGCGGCAGCGTTGTATTGGCTATGGTGTAGAACAAGCTGCTTAGTAGGATGACCCTGGCCCTCAACTCGGCACGGTGGAGTTCGGCCTGGTACGAGATGAGAACTGCGAAGGGACCGTTGAAACTGAAATAGGAAATTGTTAGAAAAAATCATTTTCCATATAAATCTTCATATAAATCTGATGGCTAACTTGAACAGCACCATGGAGTGATGCCCACTTACTCTAAATAGCTGTATCTAAAATAGATATTCTTTTAGTTCTTTTTTTCCATATTATTTCTTTTTTTTACAGATTTAAAAAGTAAGAAAGTCCCAATATATTTATTACGAGTACTATGGTTTATCACCGAATGTGAACAAGTTAGATTTTATAAGAGACCTTATAAAGGATTTAAAGCAATCATTTAGGTCAACTAATTTACGTTTTGACCTGGTGTTACCTTGGTTGTGGTCTCGAGTGGACTTTTTTTTTGATTGGTGAAAATGGTATTAGCCCCGCCTGCGCTAACGGGATACGCTGGCGGACCACCAGTGGAGGGTGATAGATGAGAATGAAAACAGGCCAGTTAGCCCATCATGATGAATTCATCAGGAATTAACCATGATAGTTTTCAGGGGGAACCGCGAGGAGGTTGACCTGGTTGGGTATATTGCTAGCAATGGGATTCTCAGTCTCCATTACTAACAATCCCTTTCCCCTCAAAATGGTCTCGAGTGGACTGATTTGCCGCTGTCATGTGTCCGCTTCCGAAATTTCTCCTACTCACTTATTGACCTACACAACATTAATTGTGTCACTGGACAGAGGGTTTCTGCACACAGCATTGGCCATGTCCTTGTTCAATGCAATTACCGACTGCATGCTATACTGAGGTAATGTTTTTATGACAAAGTGAGGGTAGAAGGAAATTAATTCCTGTCTCTTATAAAACTTAAAAAGTCTAAAAGTTAATAGAGGTAATAACATAGATTATAAATAAAATTTATAATCTATGTTAGTATTAGATTATTGTTTAATTTTTTCCCGTCTGATGGTAAACGGTCACTGTAGCCTATGGACGCCAGCAACACTAGGGGTGTCACGTGCGCGTTGCAGACTCTAAAAAAAACTTAATATACCCTTTTTGAAGAACCCCATACTGTAGTCTTTAGGGAAAACCTTGACAGGGAGCTTATTCCATAGTCTGAGCGTTCGCGAGAGAAAACTTCTTTGAAGTCGCAATGTTGAAGAAGAATCATCAGGTTTGCTGAAAGAAAACTCCTTGCTCTAAGCACATATCCTTGGTACATAAATTACTTCTCTATAAACATGTTACTTCTTATCTTTCTGTACAATAAACAGTAGACATACCAAATAATACTCACAGGAAACCGCTGGCGAATCTGGTGAGGAGTAGCATAATGAAGTTCTGGCTCATGCTGACGCACATCTCCACTATGCCGGTGCAGAAGAACCCCCACACCATGATCCTGCGGCGGCCCAGGGTGTCCGACAGAAAGCCCCAAATCATCGCAGATGAGATCATACCTGGAAAATGTTATTTTTAAAACCTTTATGTGTATTCTTTTAAATAAATACAATAAATTATGCCTTTCGTATTAAATAACTGAAGAGTCGTGGAGCGCATGTATACAAAATACAATTTTGTACGATTTGCCTAATTGGGCATACTACAGTCTTACGTATAATATTTCACTGTGAAAAAACAATGTTGTCGTGCCCTAGTCTGAAGTGCAAGGAAGTCTATTTCATTCTATGTAAGGTCTATTCTATTGCCTACCATTGGTTCGCTGTATAGATACTTTTTTGTTTTAACTTTACAGACGACCTTTCGCCGCCATTTTGTATCTAAAGGGCCATCGACCTTTTTGTCATTATTAACGAATTTTGATAAAAAAAAATTCCAGTTAGTTTAATTACAAGAAGACATTTATGATTGTCAAATGAATTATGATTACAAATGAGTAAACACACGTTACGTTAAATTTTAACATAACAATCAGCGTGAAACAAAAATACGAGTATACGAGTAATAATGTTTGTATTGTCAACATTTGCATGTGACAATTATGACATTGTATTGACTTTGAAATAGTAAACAATGTTATATATATATATATATATATATATATATATATATATATATATATATATATATATATTTAGTAAACATATATTATATATTCATGTATCACGAGAAAATTAAACAAATTTATATATGCCGTAGGTAACTAATTAAATTTACTTATGTTGTATTTGCACAACGGTTTCCTGTGATGCTGGAGGAGTGTCTTGTTCTTCTGATGGCTGCCTATTTACTATAAATTATGTATTACTAGTTTTTACACGCGGTTCTAATCGCATAATTGGAATACTAATATATTTATTGATCGGTATATAAAGCAGCCCATCACAAATACAAAAACAAATATATAATGTGGGTGGAAAGGGATTGTTAGTAATGGAAACTGAGAATCCCATTGCTAGCAATATACCCAACCAGGTCCACCTCCTCGCGGTTCCCCCTGGAAGCTATCATGGTTAATTCCTGATGAATTCATCATGATGGGCTAACTGGCCTGTTTTCATTCTCATCTATCACCCTTCACTGGTGCTCCGCTAGCGTATCCCGTTAGCGCAGGCTTACCGTACCATTTTCACCCATAAAAAAAAAAACGGTTTCCTATGATGCTGGAGGAGTGTCTTGATCTTGTGATGGCTGCCTATTTACTATAAATTATATATTACTAGTTTTTACACGCGGTTCTGATCGCATAATTGGAATACTAATATATTTATTGATCGGTATATAAAGCAGCCCATCACAAATACAAAAACAAATATACAAAGTAATTAATGTTTCTTTCCACTCAGGGTGTACTGGAGGAGAACTCTTACAGAGTTAAGCTCGCCAGTTGTACGTTTTTATTTAATGTAAATATATAACAATATAATTTTTGTATACAAAAAAGTATAAATAAATATAAATATCGTTATTAGAAACTCACTTTCACATTTATAATATGTATTTGAACAGAATCTTAGGAATATTAAGGGAAGTTAAAAAAGAAAGGAATAATAAAATACAATTTTCTCGTTTATAACCTCCTTATTCATAAAAACTAAAACGTTCAACGAATCTACGAGTATTTTAATAATTGGGGTGTTTTGTAATTTTCTTTCAAATTGAGAAATCAGTGCAAAAGAAAAAGATAAAACAGTTCAATAGCTAAAAATTATTATGAGAGGTTTGACGTTTATATGAATAAATGGAGTTATTATGAATAAAATACGTTTTTATGAATAAAAGGGTATCTATGAATAAAAGAATTTCTATAAATAAAAGGGGTTTTCATGAATAAAAGGGATTTTTACGAATAAAATACGTCTTTATGAATAAAAGGATTTTTATGAATAAAAGGGGTTTCTACGAATAAAAGGGGTTTCTACGAATAAAATAGGTTCTTTGTGAATAAAAGGGGTTTCTTTGAATAAAAGGGGTTTTAATGAATAAAAGGGGTTTTAATGAATAAAAGGAGTTTTAATGAATAAAAGGGGTTTTTATGAATAAAATGTTTTTTGTTATTTAGTCGTAAAAAATAAAAAAAAATAATAATAAGCAAGTTTAAAAATCTAAATACCATTTCTTGGATGTAAGTTTTATATTTTGAATATAGATGAATTAATACTACATGAAAATTCAACAGCTATAATAGTATAGAATCAATTTTATCTCTTATCAACAAACGTATGATCTCATTAGATGTTACGAGTGTGCAAACATTAGACTAGAAGGAATTTGGAAATAAAATAATGACTATTGATTTAATTCTACTATGATAAAAACTTGTATCCTTGTACCTGGTGCGTCTGATAAGCTTTTATAGTAGTTATCACCTATTATAACATAGTGGGCAAAAATAGAAAGCAATAATATGTCGTCATACCTCTGACTACAGAACTTAAAAAGCCTACAATTTTTTTTTTATATGATTTGTAAACTAAGTATATATGCATTTGATTATATTATATACTATGTTTATGATTTTAAAAGTAAACAAATTTAACTAAACCTAATTAACTTAAAGTTTTATCTTAGTTTAACGTCATCATCAAGGGCACGTTAATGACTTGTAATGACAATTAATGATACGAGCTAATGCGTCTAATGGTAAGAGGCCTCCATAGCTCAAGAATTCTTAGAGGCGTCACTTGTACATCATACCAGAACCTATGACAATGTAAATCTTAAGACATAGTACTCAGTAATGCTACAATATCCCTTAAAACTGGAACACAGCGTACGAGCAAGCAGTTTGGCAGCAGAATATGGTGAAAAGACGAATGTATGCAAAGACTCCTGTTAAGTACTCTGGTACTCCGATCTTGTACAAAGTCTCCACATGAGTTCTCTGTATGTGCACCTTTGAGAACAAAGGTTTCAATCGCGAAGCAGTAGTGCTTGATTGCTTTATTACAGCTTCAAGTATGGCATTTACTAGTTACAGGGCATGAAGACATAACACCATAGTCCTTAGGAATGGTTACACAAGGGCATCACAGCGTGTTTCTAATGTCTATGTATATTCCTGTCTATAGCCGATGGTTAACATTTTTTATTGGATGGTCCATCTGCTTGTTTGCCATTCTAAATATCATAAAAAAGATAATTTACCTCCATAAGTGATAGCGTTAAGTGTTCCCATGTCTAGTAAACTGAGCTGCATGTCACACTGGGCCTGTGTGAAGATGTAGGATACAGAGCTGGAGACCGACACGGCACTCCAGAACGCGGGCAAGATGCATAGCATCAGGCAGATGTTGAATTTGCCATACCCTGTCGCGGCGATCGCAGTTTCGAAGTCCGCTGCTTCTGCATCTAGAACAGGTAACAGGAAGTGTTATTTTGCTGAAGATGAAATAAGTATACTTTTCGGAAGTAACTTTAGTTTCTTGCGGGTTCTTCTAAGCAGATAATATACATTAGCAGAACATACGTTAGCGAACTTTCTTGTCATTTTGCCAGGTTCGCAGTAGATTTCTAAAGAAACGACAATTTAAAAGACTGTTTTTTTTTTCTATTCAGAAATATGTGTGGATGTTTGGCGTAAAGTATAACCAGAAAAGATTGAACTATAGGAGTTTTCGCCCTCTGCTATCTGGAGTCTCTAAGTCGTCTCTGACGTGACTTGTTATACAATGGCTTTGCGTATCCTCCGAAGCACAAGAGATTTGAATTTTTTAATGATTCAATCGTGAATTTGGAAATTCGGGGAGATTCAGAGATGGGATTCAATCTTGGGGTCTCCAAAGCCAAATACTAATCGACTGGCTTTTGTATGGAATGGTAACTTCCGGTATGCGCTGGTGGGGTATCAGTCAGGGATGCTAGGTAAGGATGAAAATGGGTCAGTTGGCTCATCGTGATGAATTCATCAGTAATTAACCACAATAATTGAGGGGAAAGGGATTGTTAGTAATGGAGACTCAGAATCCTATTGCTAGCAATATACCCAATCAGGTCGACCTCCTCGCCGTTTCACCTGCAAACTATCATGGTTAATTCCTGATGAATTCATAGTGATGGGCTTACTGATCTGTTTTCATTCTCATCAATCACCCTGCACTGGTGCTCCGCTAGCGTATCCCGTTAGCGCAGGCGGGGTTATCATACCATTTTCACCCATCAAAAATAAAACCACAATAGTTTCCAGTACACACCACGTGGCTTTATACTTTTTTTTATACAACTTAGAATGGCAAACAAGCTGACGGCCCACCTGTTGGAATGTGGTAATTGTCGCCTATAGACATGAGCAGTACCATGGACATAACAGAGTATACTGTTTTGCCCATGATACCCCCCATGCGTTGCCATTCCTGAGGACTCAGGTGTTATTCCTCTGTACCCTGTAAAGTCACGCCATATCCCACCCTTCAAACTGAAACACAGCCATGCAAACACGACTGCTTCACGGTTGAAACACGAATGGGACATTGGTACCCAAGCAAACGACTTTTGTACAAAGTCTCCCACTGGTAAGTACTTATAAGAGTATTAACTGTCCCCGGAAACAAACTGTACAATGGTGTTTTTATGTTTGAATGCTAGGCTAACTCTAATAACGTCATGGACATACCTAACATATTCCTAATGGGGGGGGGGGGGAGAGGGTGTTAGTAATGAGATCAAACAGTTCCATTGCTAGCAATGTACCCTATCAGGACGACCTCCACGCGGTTCCCCCTGGAAACCATCATGGTTAATTCTCACGGAATTTTTCACTATGGGCTAACTGACCTGCTTTCACCTATCACTGGTGTCCCGCTAGACTATACCGATAGCGCAGGCGGGGTTAACATCCCATTTTCACCCATCTAATAAAAAAAAACCTATTTCTAATGTTCGCAGCTATGGACGTTGTTTTTCCATTCTTTAAATAAATATTAGTTCAGCAGCAAAACATAAAATTAAGAGCGCCCATAAACTGTACTGTGACATTTTACAGTAAATACGTCAATTCGACGGACCGGCCGGTTACAGTGTTGGCTCCACTCCAAACGTAAACTAGACCAGTTTGAGACGTAATTTGTATAATAATCTTACTTTGTAACACGTATTGGGATATTTTTGGTGTGATTTTGCGGAAAAACATTCGATCTGCTGGCCGTCTTACATTTTTTTTAATCAATCCTCAAGCTTAGGTAAGTGGTACGATGTTCATCACAATCGTAAATACTAACGTATTTAATCTATATTTGTACAGTCATTTGTCAAATGTACAATCGCTTAATCGCTGTCAATGTACAGCTAAAATGAATAAGTCTAGAGATCTGAAATTTGGAACGTGAATTTATTATATAACGTAAGCATTCGCTAAGGGAGGTCTTTTGAAAATTTCAACTTAAATGGAATGTCTCGGGCAATACTTAATTTATAAATTGATAAGTAGTTTTTATTTTGCAATAAGCAACTTTGATAGTACCAAAATTAATAATAATATAAATCAGTAATATCATACATACATACATACATATCTGTCACGCCTGTCTCCCATTAGGGTAGGCAGAAACAATGGAACGCCAAATGCTTCGATTCAAACAAACCTCTTTCGCTTCTTCCACATTCATCAATATTTTCATACACGCTCGCCGGTTACGGGTACTTTTAATTTGGCCCTTCTTCAGCACGTCGCCTATTTGGTCGACATTCGTCCGTCTAGGGCGGCTCCTACCGACATCTCCATTCATTCTTGCTCGATAAATCTCTTTCGTAATTCTTCTTTCATCAATCCTCTCCAAATGACCGAACCAACGCAACATTCCTATTTCGATTTTTGTCACTACATCGTCTTTCAGTCCACACTTCTCTCTAAGTAAAGAGTAGAGAGTAGAGAGTAGAGTAGTAGTAGTAGTATCAGTAATATCACTATTTGAATTAAAAGGAAATAGTTAAAATGTACTGGTACATGACGAAATATTTCACAGATACAGTTAAAATATTTGTGTTTAATATGAAGAAGTGTCGCCACAAACGGGATTTCAGTTAATTTTCAGACTTTCTCGTTGTCTGTTGTTTATGTAGTCCACATCGAAACGGCGGCAATAAAATTCAGGTGTGTAGATAGATAGATAGATACTCTTTATTGTTTCCTCTAAAATATTACAATAGTAAACTTATTATAAATATAAACAATTACAAGAGATAATCACAGTGAGAAAACAATGGACGACCTTATCGCTAAGAGCGATCTCTTCCAGGCAACCTTTGGACGGAGAGGAGTAATTATAAACAATTTGGTGAGAGGCGCGGTGAAAAATTCTGTTAATTCTAAATTTTTTTTATACAATTTAGAATGGCAAACAAGCTGACGGTCCACCTGATGGAAAGTAGTAACGGTCGTCTATAGACATGAGCAGTACCGTGGACATAACAGAGTATACTGTTTCGCCCATGATACCCCCCATGCGTTGCCATTCCTCAGTCAGGACTCAGGTGTTATTCCTCTGTGCCCAGTAAATTCACGCCCTTCAAACCGAAACACAGCCATGCAAACACAGCTGCTTCACGGTTGAAACACGAATGGAACAGAGGTACCCAAGCAATCGACTTTTGTACAAAGTCTCCCTCTGGTATGGGAGATGTGATACATGTAATAATATAAATATTATCCCTACTCATTATATATATATAGGTACTATATTTACGTGTAATCGTGTTGTGTTAAGTTCTGATTGAGAATTTAAAATAAATAGGATATTACTCTGCAAAAGAAACGATTTCAACCATAATTAGAATTATATGGGACCAATATAGAACTATATCCTGTCGATTAAAAAAAAAAAAACAAACTAAAACTGGTGAAGATATCGTGTAACGCATACAGAAAAAAAAAATACAAAAGTATTTATCGACAAGTTTCTTCATTTGGACATCGCTTTAAGATTATGTAAGCTAAGATCGACGAAGACGATCGACGAAACCAAATTGCCGTACGATTCTATAGTTTCTTTTAATAGAAGTAAATGAATAGTTTAACATAGACTTTGCCCACTTGTCAGGTGGGTTGGCAACCGCAGTTGGACTTTGGAGATGTTTTAAGAGGGACACTGCTGTTCATCCCTCGCCCACCCTTAGTCGCCTCTTACGACACCCACGGGAAAAGAAGGGGTGACTCATTCTATAACGGGAAAGTATGCAAAGATTCCTGCTAAGTACTATAAGTATACTCACAAAGAAGCCTAAAGAGAATGAAGTGTAAAGAAGCGAACAAACATCCGACCATAAGACAATCTAATGAATTTTGCTTGCTGCATTCAATATTGGCACAAATTTATCCCTTCTTTGCATAATGGTGGAAATTTCCATCATAACATTGAATGTCCAAAAGTTATATATAAGAACAAGTTCACTTTAACTTGATCGTGTCTGGATACCTTTTGAATGTCCATTGCAGAAAAAAAACATAGTTATCAAATTTATTATTTTAACCATTAATCCTTTAATTTTGATTTATTTCAAAAATAAAAAAAAAATCATGCAAAGAAGGGTTAAAAATAGATTATTTCATTGAATGTTTCGGTTTGTAATTAATCTAATTTAGAGAGTATATCTGTGATAATTTTAACTAAACTTGGGAATGATTAACAAATGTCTCTGACAACCCCATTACGCGATTATACTCGCGAAAATATTTAGTTATTTATTTCTTTATATTGTGAACAAGCGACACGTCCCGGCTTCGCATGGGTGGACATTTTTACATCTTAAAAAGTGGCCATTAAGGCTGCACACGCGACGGAAGCTTAAAAATGGAGTAACTTTTCCCGTTTTCCCAACATTTCTCTTCACTGCTCTGCTCCTATCGATCGCAGCGTGATAAAAAGTATACTTTAACCTGCCCAGCAGTATGAAGAATAATCGTACCAAGTTTCGTTAAAATCCGTCGAGTAGTTTTTGTTTCTATAACGAACATACAGAGAGACAGACAAAAATTTTACCGATTGCATTTTTGGCATCAGTATCGATCACTAATCACCGCCTGATAGTTATTTTGGAAATATATTTCATGTACAGAATTGACCTCTCTACAGATTTATTATAAGTATAGAAGATGTACCTTGAGCCAATTTCTCCAGATTTGTCGACGACAAGCCGGTCACTTTGAAAAGATGGTCGTGGGGTATCACCTCCTTCGCCGCCGGCGCCTCCGAGTCTGTTTTACTCAACACCATTATCTCTGACTATTTACAATCCAAATATTACTAATTAGTATAAACTTTAGGACTATTTGTGTCCATTTATGGACGTATGGACTCACACCGTAACCATTCTCAACCATCGAACTAATTTGAAAGTAAAATATGCTGATGTTTTATACGGGTGCTGCGGAGAGATTACACATAAGTTTGCAGTGGGATCAGCGGTTAAGCCCAACGCATACAGTGTTCAGTATTCCTCCAGTCCTGTATCTCTGTTCAAACACTACCGACTAAAATAGAATCTGTATGTATTAGAAAATAATATAATGTTATTTAATGCTTTGCAAATATTTGCGGGAAAACATAGCTATTTGTTTCGATTGCTATCACTATTTATTCATTATGAAATAAAATTGTCCCGTCTTTCATTTCCGTTTGAAAGAGGAAAGTTTTGAAAAATACTATAAGAAAGAAGTTTGTTATAATCAACGAAATAAGAGAAAGGTTTTTTTTTATAAAAAAAGAAACCTTAAGTCGTTTGTATATTTTTTTTTATGTTTGTTACCTCACTAGTTTTGGGAAATTCTTTTTTAAAGAATCTTTTCATAAAATAGTATTTTCCAAGTCGGTTTACAAGTCCATCACTTGTAAACCGACTTGGAAAATACTATTAGTTATGAGGTAACAAATATAAAAAAGTACATACAATAGAATTAAGCCCTTTGTTTTTGAAGTCGGTTGAAAGTAATCCTTATCAAACCAACAATTCATGGTGATAAAACATTTGCTTTGCAGAACAATATTTGTGTTTACAATGTTAGCGATAATTTAAAATTAGTAATAAGTAATAAAAAAATTAGTGACGTAGGTAGACAAGTCAGGGTAAATTCCGTGACATCAATATGCGTGCGAAACCGGGGCGCGTCAGCTAGTCGTAATGGCTTTGAATGTCATAATCAGCTCAGTGACATAGTGTTCCCTATCAATGGAAGGTTAGGTCGATTGTTATTTTGGTTTCTATTTACCTATAGATATAAGTTCTATTTTAATATACCTACATATTTATTTATCTGTTACTTGCAACATACAATAGTTTTGTTATATTTTATTTAAACTAGTACTCGTTCCGTAGTCGAAATTCGACCATAATATATATATATATATATATATACAAACAAGCTGACGGCCCACCTGATGGAAAGTGGTAACCGTCGCCTATAGACATGAGCAGTACCATGGACATAACAGAGTATACTGTTTCGCCCATGATACCCCCTATGCGTTGCCATTCCTGAGAACTCGGGTGTTATTCCTCTATACCCTGTAAATTCACGCCATATCCCACCCTTCAAACCGAAATACAGCCATGCAAACACAACTGCTTCACGGTTGAAACACGAATGGTACAGAGGTACCCAAGCAAACGACTTTTCTACAAAGTCTCCCTCTGGTAAATAAATCATAAATTCTTAGATAATTAATTTCTATAATTAATATTTTTTTTATTATAAAATTTTAATTTTGATATATTTTTGTAATTTGAATTTTAAATTGTTTTAAATGTTTATTTAATTTCTTTCTTTCTTAATTAGACTGTTTATATTTTTTTTAAATTTTATATAATATAAAGGGGTATTGACCTTTATAGTGACCATTTAATTTTTTGACTTCAAATGGGACATTGTAATATCATTAACAATTTATTAACGGCAAAAGTAATCATATAATTTTTTTTTGTCGTGATAATTTTTGCTGATTCCGATTACTTACTTTTTATTACAATAGTTTACTCAAAACCCATGTTCGTCCCATAAGTAATATTGAAATATGTTTCTTGTTGGCTGAGATTGCCTGGAAGAGATCGCTCTTACCGATAAGGTCGCCCATTGTTTTCTCATTGTGATCATTTCTTGTAATTATTTATATTTATAATAAGTTTACTATTGTAATCTTTTGGAGGAAACAATAAAGAGTATCTATCTATCTATCTTGTTTTGGAATTATCTCACATTTTTTTTTATAGATCAATATAAATGTTTTATTTATCCAATAACAAAAAATATCAAGTTAAAAAGACATATTTAAATGTTTTGTCTATTTATCACAGAATTTATAATAAATACTATTCCACTAAGGAACATAATGTATACAATATGAAAATTAATTAAATAAGTGTGAAATTCCTAAGAAATATTTAAATTAACTCAAAAAATTTGTTTCACTTATTAATAAATAAGTTTTTGGGTCCTTTATTTCGGGCCGAAACGATTCCCCTGTCGCTTCAAGTGGGGATCAAGATACGACGAACTGTGTCGAGGTTCCAACAGCCACGCGGTTGTTTCAGATAACTTAAGTCGTATCCGGTGAGTCTTGTTCATCGGCATACGGTAACAGGTAAGTCTTCCGCGGGTTTGGAAAGCCGTCTGTACTCGCCCCGTGTTTTATCCAGTGAAGCTGTAAAGGTCGTTTGAGGCCAACAGCATAGAGTAGTTCGAAATGAAAGCGTCCATTATTTTCAACTTTTTCAGAGTTTAATAATATATAATAGAAATACAGGACTGTCCTGATGAAAATAAAAATGTATGGTCAGTTTACGTACAGATAACTCTGTATGAACTAGTGGCGTTGGTTTTTTTTTGTAGCGGCTACTGATCATTTTATTGCTATTTTGTGCTACTATTCTAAGTAAACAAACCATTATCGGAGTCGAGATATTGGAGTTCAAAATTCTGCAAGTATGACGTCAGAGTACCTTCAGATTCCTTCCGCTGAAGTCGTGATTGTTGGCGACTTTAATGCCCACCATGCCGAATGGCTTGGTTCGCGTACAACCGACTATGCGGGAAGATCTGTTCATGACTTTGCTTTGGCTTATGGTCTGACACAGCTTGTTTCCTCGCCTACGCGAATCCCTGATGTGTTGGACCATTCACCTTCACTGCTGGACCTTCTGCTGACCACCCACCCAGACAACTATGTGATCTCCGTCGAAGCCCCGCTTGGATCGTCGGATCACTGTTTGGTGCGGAGCGAAGTGCCTCTTACGAGTCCGACTCCACCTCGTTCTACGGGTAGACGTCGCATTTGGCACTACAGGTCGGCAGATTGGGATGAGATGCGGATTTTTTTCGCATCTTACCCATGGAGGCAGGTTTGCTTCACACTGGATGATCCCGACGCCATTGCCGATTCCATTGCTGATGTGGTGCTTCAGGGAATGGAATTATTTATTCCTAACTCTGTGGTGCCCGTCGGCGGGAAATCCCAGCCCTGGTATGGAGCCTCCTGTAGAACAGCATCTCGTCTGAAACAGGAGTGCTTCCTAACCTGGGCTAAAGGTGTGGCGTCGCGAGATCCTAACACCAGTGCTCTTAAAAAGAAGTATAACTCTGCCTCTAGGTCTTTCAAAAGAGTTATAGCCACAGCGAAGTCAGAGCATATTAGTAGAATTGGCAAGAGACTGGCTAGTTTGCCCTCTGGGACTCGAGCTTTCTGGTCTCTTGCCAAAGCTGCACAAGGGAATTTCTGTAAGTCATCTTTTCCACCTTTGCGCAGGGAGGATGACTCGTTGGCCCAGAACGCTAAAGAAAAGGCCGATCTTCTTGGATCCATCTTTGCGTCAAACTCGACATTGGATGACGGGGAGAAACCACCACCGACCATCACGTGTTGTAGGAGCTCTATGCCTGACATTAAATTCACGCATAGCTCAGTGCGTAGAGCACTTTTCTCCCTCGAAATCCATAAGTCGAGTGGGCCTGATGGTATTCCTCCAATTGTGCTTAGGACGTGCGCACCAGAGTTGGCTCCGGTTCTTACGCGTCTTTTTCGGCTTAGCTACTCATCGGGCATAGTCCCAAAGTTTTGGAAGACTGCTCTGGTGCATCCGATCCCTAAAAAGGGAGATCGCTCAGATCCAGCTAACTATAGGCCCATAGCTATCACTTCCTTATTCTCGAAGGTTATGGAATCCATCATTAACCGTCAACTGCTCCGGTACCTAGAAGAGCACCGGCTGATCTGTGATCGCCAGTATGGCTTTCGACAGGGACGTTCGGCCGGTGATCTTTTAGCTTACTTAACACACCGATGGGCAGTGGCAATCGAGAGTAAGGGAGAGGCCTTAGCAGTTAGTCTGGACATTGCGAAGGCCTTTGATCGGGTGTGGCATAGAGCGCTGCTTTCAAAGCTACCTTCATTTGGGTTGCCTGCGAGACTGTGCATTTGGGTCGCCAGTTTTCTCAAGGAACGTAGCATTAAGGTCGTAGTCGACGGTGCATGCTCTGATTTAAAACCTTTGAATGCTGGTGTCCCGCAAGGCTGTGTACTATCTCCGACTCTGTTTCTTCTGCATATCAATGATATGTTACAGATAAGTAATATTCATTGCTATGCGGACGACAGTACAGGAGATACATTATATACCGGTCATGCAAAGATCTCGCGGGCACATACCGATGAGTGCCGGAATAGACTTGTGTCTGAAATCGAAACTTCACTCCATCAAGTTTCGATCTGGGGTGAACAAAATCTTGTCCAATTTAACCCCAAAAAGACACAAGTCTGCGCGTTTACCGCAAAAAAGACGCCGTTTGTCGTATCTCCTCACTTTCAGGGCACTTCCCTTGATAAAAAGTCAAGTCTAGGAATTCTGGGCGTTGATATATCTTGCGACGTCCAGTTTTGCGGTCATCTGGAGGAGAAGGCTAAGATAGCTTCCAAAAAGTTAGGAGTGCTCAATAGGGTGAGACGATATTTCATGCCAGAACACCGCCTGAAATTATATAAAGCCCAAGTCAGGCCGCATATGGAATACTGTTCTCACCTGTGGGCAGGAGCGCCACAGTACCAACTCCTTCCGTTAGACCGCATTCAAAGTCGGGCGGCTTGAATTATCGATAGTCAACGCCTTACTGTCCGACTTGACCCATTGAAACTGCGCAGAGATGTTGCGTCTCTGTGCATCTTCTACCGAAATTATCATGGGGAGTGTTCTGAGGAATTGTTCGGATTGATACCTGCTGCTGATTTTCACCACCGTACAACCCGCCACAAACTAAAGTTTCATCCCAATCATCTGGACGAGTGGCGGTCTTCCACCGTGCGTTTTTCAAGGCACTTTCTTCCACGCACAACCATTCTTTGGA